TGCCTGTTGCTGTGCTTTGGCACAATTCAGTTAAAATGAATACGGATCCACTCACCGAGCCATGGCCAGGTTACAGAAGGCAGCATACTGAAGGCAGTCCTGCTGCTTCAGCTCCTTTGCCAGCTGACCTGAAAGCACAGGTAAAGACAAGCCTGGTGACATTTATTCAGCCTCTATCATTTAACAGCACAGGAGAGGCGCTGACTCTTCTGTGCGGCAGTATAGGCTGGATCACAGCATTTACATGGATGGACTAATGTGGCACTCACCAAATTGCTCACTTGCCTCTGCCACATTGGGCTTCCGAAGAAAACGCCTACAAAAGAAAACAAAGTATTTTCACATTTTAAAACATCTTAGATAGCCAACTGTGATACACGCCAGCTAGATAAACATAGAATATCAGTACTGTGGCAAACTACCGGCTAGTTATGGGTTAATAATAATAATAATAATAATAATAATAATAATAATAATAATAACAGATTGCATTTATATAGCGCTTTTCGGGGCCCTCAAAGCGCTTTACAATTAGCTGTCAAACAGCACCAACAACTCATCGCTTATTTTTCGATGAACCTGGGCTAAATATCTCAAAATGACCAAATATTTCACTACAAAACGAGCAAATGGCTAACAGTAACGCTAGCTTAGCCTATTAGCACTAGCTGAAAGCCGTTACCTCGCATTCAGTCTAAATAACATTTAGCTATTCCCGATATTCGTCCGTCTTTCTTCTTAAACAAAGCCATTTCAAAGCCTTACTTTTTCAGTTTATTTGACACAGCTCGGTATCTCGCCAGAAAATCGCCCTCCGCAGCCATGATCAATGCCAGGAAGTCCAAGTGACAGCAGCCTCAACTCACGATTTCATTGGTCGGCGTCGGCAATTGCGTGGCGCATGACGTAAAGGACATGCCCAAATGAGCAGTGTTGCCAACTTAGGCTACGTTCACACTGCAGGTCTTAATGCTCAATTCCGATTTTTTGATCAAATCCGATTTTTTTGTCTGCGTGTTCACACTACAAATAAAATGCGACAGCAAACGCGCTCTAGTGTGAACGCTCAAAGCGGCCCGCATGCGCAAAAGAAGACGTCACACACAACGCGCTCTGTTTAGACCCAGAGCAAACTATATTGTTTGACTGATGGCCCTTAATATAAAGACTTCGGACTTCATGTTTTCCAATTTTTTGCTTTAAGTTATTTTGTTATTTACATAATAATGTAGATAACCTAATAATGATCCTTATTGCTGTTTTAGAGGAGGAGTGCTTCAAAGGATAGCTGTAGATTTATGTCAGAATCTGCAGATTATACAGTACAAATAAAATGTTCACGTTTCTCCAACGTTGTCTTCCCAGCAGTTTCACCGGATGGCCAGGAAGCGTTCGCGATGTCTTCTCGGGCGCTTCTTTGGCGCTGATAATTGGCGTCTGTCTTGTATGTGAAGGTTCTCAGTCATCCAGGTCATCGTAGTCAAAGGAGCTTGGCGTCTGTCTCGTGTCAGTGACGTAAAAGATGGATTTAATGCGACTTGACCGTTCACACAGCAGTTGCTTTCTGAAACATCGGATATGTATCGGATTCAGTACCACATACGAAAGTGACCCAGATTGGATTTGAAAATATCAGATTTGTGCCGTTCACACTGTCATACCATGATCGGATATGGGTCGCATAGGGTCAAAAAAATCGGATTTGATGCGCTTTCGCCTGCAGTGTGAACGTAGCCTTTGTCGCTATATTTAGCGAGTTTTCAGACCCCTAAAAAAGACGTGAAAGCACGTATGGCTTTTACTCTCAACAAGCAGCAGGTGCTGTAACGCAGTCAGTTCTTCTTTTACTCTTTTACTCTTATGCTGTTTTGTGGATTACAAGGTTTAAAACTACTTATAAACACACACACAAAGTAACTCCACCAGAGTGCCTATTTTGGGTCACTTTTACCGGTGTTCCAGATCTACTGGCGTTTAGATCAACTGGCGTTGGTCGAACAGATGTGTGGCAGTCTTGCGTTTCAGTAGCTACTACTGACAAACCAGCAAAAAAACGCCAAATGTGTCATCTGTGACACTTGTGAGGTTGTCTCAAACACACTCCGTCAGTCTTGATGCTGTTGAACAACAAAATGTTTAAAAATGTGGCGAGTTTATCTGGTGATATCCTCATGCGCGACGCGATCGCGAAAACAGCAAACAAGTAACACCACGCCGATGTTGTTCACAGGACAGCAAGAGTAAACGATCGGGAGAACCTTGTCGTCGTTATCGTTCCCCTCGCACGGTTTATTTCTCCGAATTCAGCGTTTTTGCTTCACAACTAAAGCGAGCAGTTTACTTTGTGCACTAACATGGAGTCGAGTCAACCAGCGCCACCTCTGGCCAAGTGCCACAGCCTACAGCCAGATCAACTGGTGACACACATCTGCACCACGTTTGAATAAGTGTCATGCACATTTGTACCTTTCAATTGTGTCTGTTTGTGCGTCATGCAAATAAACCTTTGAAAAGAATGAAATGATATCATGTATTCCTTATTGGCCTACATTTGTACAAAATTCCAAATTATATACACAAAGTCATAGACATCACCACTCCAATTCGGTCATCATGATTTTGATATTCTCTTTTTCCATAACAATGAAATACACCTTGGACAAATATGACACATCAATATTTCATTAGTGTTGTCACATCACATCCTGTAAGCATCGTCTGTCTGTGTCTTTTCCCTGGAAATTAATATTTCCAGCCAATTTAGGCAATCCATCAACATGGCTGGAGTTATATACAGTCTGTATAAGTGTGGTTAATCTAATGAACATTTGTAAGGAGATGGCAGTTACTGTGAATTCACAGCAGTTACACAGTGATTAGTAATAAACAGCCAGTGAGAGTGAGTGGATTTAAGAAAGTCAGTGACTCAGGTGTGTCGCTTGGTTTGTCATCTGTTTGTGAGACTGGAGGAGACGTAGAAATCTTTTGTTTTAAATCTTAGTTAGGAAGATTCCTGTTTGAAAACAAGCACTTTCTGTGAGGAATGCAAGAAGTACATCTGCAGAAAGCACATTTTGTCCAACATGTGGACAAAATTGAAAATGTTGAGCATTGAAAAACTGAGAACGTTGGGCAAGTTCAAAAGAAATGTGTTTGTAAGAACGAAAAACCAAATTGTTCCTAAAATAGTTATGGAAAGTCTAACTGTTGTATGTCTGTGTTCTACATGTTTATCTAATGGAAAATAAAGTTGCTGTTGTTTTATTGCAGTTTTTGGATAATTCTGAGTGGATTTACACAGTACGGGTCAAAATGACCCGCAACAAAATCAATGTCAATTGTTTGTTCTTCAACATAATACAAGGGTTAATTTCCAAAACTTGCTTATGATCTTCAATTTGTAGCAGATCCACTATCACACAGCAGCTGGAGCAGTCTCCAATGGAGGTCAGTCCACTACTACCATAGCCTACTACTAGATTAACTTGTGACACATCTGCACCTGCTGCTATGATCACATTGAGTAGAGGCTAAGTGGCTGCACTTACCCCTGGTACATCCAAATCTGCCCACAAACATGTTGACAGATGCAATGCCAGCAATGTGGATTGTCAACACTAAAAACAATCAGTAAGCAAAGACAACAGGGATCACTTTTTTCTGTTTATTTAGCACCCACAACATTTGTCCACAACACTGTGTGGTACCACTTTCCACAGAAGGTGCATTCAATCTGCAAGATTGAATGAGATTGTCAGGGTCATTGTCTGACTGTTTATTACTAATCACCTGCAGTACATTCACAGTAACTGCCATCTCCTTACAAATGTTTATTAGATTAACCACACTTATACAGACTGTATATAACAACCAACTCTGAAATGTTCGTTTGCAGAGGGAAGACACAGACAGACTATGCTAACGACATGTGATGTGACAACACTAATGAAATATTGATGTGTCATATTTGTCCAAGGTGTATTTCATTGTTATGGAAAAAGAGAATATCAAAATCATGATGACCAATTGGAGTGGTGATGTCTATGACTTTGTGTATATAATTTGGGATTTTGAACAAATGTATAGGCCAATAAGGAATATATGATATCATTTCATTCTTTTCAAAGGTTTATTTGCATGACGCACAAACAGACACAATTGAAAGGTACAAATGTGCATGACACTTATTCAAACGTGGTGCAGATGTGTCACAGGCTGATCTGGCTGTAGGCTGTGGCACTTGGCCAGAGGTGGCGCTGGTTGACTCGACTCCATGTTAGTGCACAAAGTAAACTGCTCGCTTTAGTTGTGAAGCAAAAACGCTGAATTCGGAGAAATAAACCGTGCGAGGGGAACGATAACGACGACAAGCTTCTCCCGATCGTTTACTCTTGCTGTCCTGTGAACAACATCGGCGTGGTGTTACTTGTTTGCTGTTTTTGCGATCGCGTCGCGCATGAGGATATCACCAGGTAAACTCGCCACATTTTTATACATTTTGTTGTTCAACAGCATCAAGACTGACGGAGTGTGTTTGAGACAACCTCACAAGTGTCACAGATGACACATTTGGCGTTTTTTTGCTGGTTTGTCGGTAGGAGCTACTGAAACGCAAGACTGCCACACATCTGTTCGACCAACGCCAGTTGATCTAAACGCCAGTAGATCTGGAACACCGGTCCAAACCCGAGTAAAGGAGCAGGGTTGGAATTGTGACATTAAAAAAAACAATAATTGCTAAAAGAAATTTAATTTGTAGTTCTAAATAAACTCTAAATGCATTTAGGACGTTTTTTACTCACTTTATGTCTCTTCCACGATGTTATTTCTCTCTCCAACAACATAGGTTACAATTAGATTAGCATGACCAATTATGCAAATTAGGCGATGGCGTCATTTAGCGACTTCTAGCGACTTTTAGGACAGCCAATAGCGATTTTCCTTACTGAGGAGTTGGCAACACTGCAAATGAGTAGAAAGGCTACAGCTCCGGACAGAAGCAGGTGACAAGAGACACATTTATTGAAAATCAGCTACCTGTTACCCACAGTTTCTAAGGTGAGAAGAAGACATCAAACACTAGACTCCACTTGGAAAAAAAGTGGAGATACATCTGACCCTTCAGTTGATCCATGTACTGTTCACTGAAGCCTCATCAGAAATGGTTTCAGTGGAAGGTGGCTGTTAAACAGCATTGTTAATGAATGGAAAAGGGGAGAAAAGGCTCTGGTGTGCAAAATTAAACAAGAACTGGACTGAAAATCAGTGGCCACAGGTCTTATAGAGTGATGAATCCAAATTGGAAATTTTTGGTTTAAATCATCATCAGTACGGAGGCGCTTACGAGAGAAGTACAACAGAGAGTATGTGCAGCCATGTGTATAACACGGCAGAGGCTCTGTCATGGTTTGGGGCTGCCATTCAACTGGGGGTCAAAAATGAATGAAACTATAAACACAGGATTTTGATCTTTCACGCAAAACCATTTGGCATCTGATTGTTAGCTACTCCATTTTTGAGCATGAAAGTGATCCCAAACTAACTGAACTAAAGGAAAACCAGCAATAATAATATTTAAAAAACAACAACACACACACACACACGCACACACACTGTCAGTTATGGAATTGATCTCCCCAGAGACCAGACTTTATTCCCACACCAACATTATTGAAGCGGTGTGGAATCATTTCAACAGATAATAGAGCAAACCCAGTCAACATCCAAAGAAGAGCATTGAACATCCATCAAGATGCCTGGAGAACTATTCCTAAAGACTACTTAAAGAAATGACAAGAAAGTTGAGCAAGAAATTTCAGGCTTTGGTGGAAAATATAGGTGCTCATACTGAATACTGACTTTTAAGCTCATTAGAACTGTTCAAACTCTCTTTTTGCCTTGGCTGTTTGAATAAATTGGTGCACAAAATCTAAAGAAATGAGGTGTAGCTAAAGACTTTTACATAGTACAGTCGTAGTATTTAGTGAAAACCTTTAGTACTTTTGATACACTGTGCTCATTCTGATGGGAATGCTTCTGTTCATTTACATTTTTTACACACTTTTAGAAATCTTTGTGTTGTACCAAACTACTTTTACTTTGCATTTGTGGTTTTTGTTGATTTTATTGAAAGATGATTCTCTCAGTGTCGCTGACACAGATGAGATTAAAGTAGAAAAGCGCTGGATTATGATCCCACAATCACGAGTTGATCTAAAAGTTCTCATAAACAGACTCAAAAACACCTTCATCCTTGTCTTTTGTCTTTTGCGCTGCCTGTGGAGGTAAAATGAAAGGCAGGTCAACATTTACGCGTTTTATTTTGACACCACGTTATTTTGAAAAGACACTCAAAGTTCGCTGACCTTTTTGGGTGGTTCCTTTTTCATGGGTTTGGCTTTGTCTTGGTCATTCTCTCTTCTGGCAGGTGAGCTGTCCAGTACATCATAAATAGACCTGGGACGAGGCTCTAGACTCTGAAAGAGATCTTCATGTCAGTGTCCAAATAAATGTTGGAAATGACCACATGAATGTAAGGAAGTTCAGGTGAAAGACACTGATGAGGAGAGAGGTGCTCACGGCATAGTAGGACTGAGCTGCTGTTGCATCCAAGCTATCGTCCTCCTTCTTTGTCACCTTCTTCTCTTCTTGGCTTTGCTTTTGTTTTTTCTCGCCAGCTCCATGTTTCTCAGTCTAAAGATGGAGTTGGATTCATCAAAAAAAACCCAAAAAACAATCACAGGTGTGCAACATACAAACGAGTAAAACACGAGGCTTTCTTCACAGCTGCTCCCTTTCTAGTTTTTTGTCTTGTGTTTGTATTCAGAGTTTATGGCGCTAACTTCATTTTCGCATTCAATGCACTTCCTGTATAAGAGCTCAAGTCCACTGGGACTACAAAAGAAGCACAGCCACTGATAAGATGAAGAAATTGAGCATGTTGCAAAACAGAGTATTAGGTTTTCTTTGGCTCAAATCAGTGTGTAAATGATTATAATTCAGTAGTTCAGTAACAGCAGTCCCAGTGCAGTTTATGAGGCAATAAAGACATGACAAAACTGGTGGCATGTGACTATTTCCATTAATCTGAGTTGGGTTTTGTGATTGAGACTGAGATGACACTGCCTGATGTTGGACAGCTGTTTGTTATTGGCAGTATAATTGTTCACACTTATTAAACTTAAGTATAATCAGGATTAAATCATATAATCAGTTTCAGATGAAAATTCTCACTGGGGCATTTTAAATTCCAATTTATAACTTAATCTAGAGAGCATGCCTCGGGTTGTGTGATTACTCATGTGATTAATAGTGGGTCAGTGACCCTCAGGACCACGTCCAAAGGGGACAACCATCCCACTGAGGTTAAATACCTTTGTTTGTAGAACTGAGCAAGCCTGGATACAGTTAAAAATTTGTCAAAATATCCCTCATTAAACTGTGACACAACTCTGGTGTGTTGTAACCTGCTGTTTCTTAACTACTGCTTGCTTAACAGCAGGATCAGTCTTACCCAATGTCCTCTGAAGACATACACCGAGCCGAGCACACTGAAGATCAACAGCACACCCGTGAAAATGGCCATGATGATGAACTCTGTGTTAACAGGTTCCTTGTAGCCTTCATCTGGAAAAACCACAAAGACAAAAAAATAAATACATTAAAAAAAAATTATGTCACCCTGTGGTGGACTTCATCACAACTGGATAACATGCAGATCAAATGGCCTTTGGCGTCTGTTCTGGCTAATTTCTCAAGACGTACAAGGGTTTCCAAAAGAAGATTCAGGACCTTTCAAAGGGTCGGAAGATAGATCTCAGGGATAGCAAAGCTACAGGAAGGATAAGAGAGAAAAAATGTTGTTTTTATTACACAGAATGCTGTTTATTTATTCTTTTCTGTATGAACTACGCAATACTTTTTCATCAGTACGCATGCCCTTCAAGAACCAGTGGAAAATAGCAAACTGTATATGATCCCCCTTTGTGGGACTGTAAGGATTTGAAAGCCTATTCTTAATTAATTCACCTTAAAGCTGTGTTACAACTTATTTTGATTATTGCTTGTATTTGTAAAGGATGCAACTATAAAAACTTCTTATTTTTAGTGTTGTTCAATAGCAGCAAGGTATCATCGTAGTTCAGCCACTGACCCCACCAACCTCCTCGACACTAATAATATGTATCAAAGCAGCCCTGATTCAAGCATCTTAATCTTATTTTCAAAACATGTTTTAACTGCCCTGCCACTGCAGTAGCTTTCTTTTTAATTTATCGTGTTCATCTGTGACAGGATCACAGATGGACGCTGCTTCATTTGAAGAAAGAGGAAGATTTAAAAAGAAGGAATAAGAAGGGAAAGTTGAGAAGTTACACTCATTGTATGATTACAAACAGTTATCTTCATGTCCTGCATGTCTTTAACAGAGAGCCTTTTAAACACATTTACTCTTTAAAAAAAAAGAAATCTGAAAAAATGCAGTGAATCTGTTTCTTAAGGCAGGTCTTCCTTCCTTAGAATACTTTACTGCTGAGTAACTGTGATAAAGATGTCTTATAGTTGGAGCTTTCATCTTCATTTTCTTTCTTTTGGACTAACCTGTCACTCGAAGAAACCAATCCACCTTCACCGTTTGATACTGGCAGGAGTAAAGTCCTGAAAGCTTCAGGTTTTTCAGCTCCAGATGCCAGGAAAATCTTTCCTGTTTGGTATCCATTGTGGGGATGGTATTATTGTATATTGTTTTGTTTTTTGGATCAAAGCATGTCAAGCAGCCATCTTCCGTTTGGTTTACTGCTTTGATCAAATTGCATGTAATGTTGAGATTTTCACCTCTAAAGGCCACAAAGACTTCGCGCTCCAGACTGATACCTGTGAAAAGACATGTTAGAGGTTTACATTAGGGCTGAAATGACTCAGCGCTGGACACGAAATAAATTTGCTGCAGTTCATTTATTCTCCGATCTATTTCTAGACTACAGGGTTAGTCGCACACGTAAGCAACAGAAAACACTCATCCCAGCAAATAAATATCAGTCACAACACAAATGTGGTGGCTCACTTGGTGAATCCATTGCTGAACAGACAGTGAGAAGGAAAAATGCAGGTATCCATGTCAACTTGAAGAAAAGGGTCCAAAACGGTTGAGATTCCATGGTGCGATTGGATAGTTTGATAAAAGTGTCTGTATTCTTTTTCGATGACAATGTTTTGTGACTCTATAGACTGTTGAAGTTCCTCTTTCTGCCAAAAAACACTTCCCCAAAATGTTTGATGGACACTGACGCACTCTAAAGGGAACAAGCAAAAACAGCATTTTACATGTTAGTCTAGGACATGGCAGACAATATTAAAGTCTAAAAACACTAAAGGTTAAAGACTTTTCACAGGCAACTCTAAAAGTTTTTGTTTTGTCCAAAGAAAGACTTCTCCTGGTTGCAGTTTGCTGTTACGTCAGCGTCTGGATGGGAAGCAAACTGCAGTTTTGGCTTTCGTCCACAGTGAGACAGTGTTGGCGAAGTAACAGAGTGAGCCACGAGTGCGCACCTCGTCATGTGGTTTTCAGACAACAGCAGAAAGAGAAGACTCGAGCAGGGAGCGGAAATAAGTGTGTGTGTGTGTGTGTGTGTGTGTGCGTGTGTGTGTGTGTGCGTGTGTACATGGCTGGAATTTAGCTGAAGGTGACAAATTGCCTTTTGTTAATGTGAACCAGCTGTTGCGGGTTGTGTGACTTCTTCACGGCAGTAACTCTCTGCTGATTCGCTCTCTCTGAAGCTGCCAATGGAGATGTGCAGATGTTAAAGTGTGGCAGTTATTGTTATTTAACTCCATTTGTCTTTTTTGTTCCTACGCCCTCCTTCTTCTCTCCACCCGTCCACCTGACTTTTTCAGCGTTTCCTTTCTGGAGAGATTACCGTCCAACTCTGACCTCACCTCAGCCCACAGCATGAAAACAGACATAGAGAGGGGGAATAACATCTGGATGCCAGTCACTGAGAAATAACTCTTTCCATTTCATACCCACTATAATGCACTTCTTATCTCTCCTCCTTCCTGGGGAGTGAAGTATACAGTAAAGCCACAGATAGTCAGGTTTACAGGAGCACAGCACAAAAGGGCACTTAACCTAAGAGGTCCTTTTAAATCTGACATGCAAACAAGTGCCTCACTGGAATTCTGAACCAGTTGAACTGGAGTCACTGTATTGCCTTTTTAGCTTTAATCGGTGCACTGAGAAATGAGGTTATGTGCCTTTAATATACTGGATTGGACTCCTAACATCCCCTGAGTTTAAAAGTTTCCAGTGCTGAAACAAAGGTTTAATGAACTACTAGGCTTTGCTGAGGAACTTTACTTAGCTGGTGTTTCCCTTTTGACGTACATTAGCCTTCTGCTCTGTAATATTATATAAGGAAGATGTTCAAGTTTTGATTTACTGCAACTACTACTGTATTTTGTAGAGGCCGTTTGGGTAAAGTGAACTTGATGTCATGTTCAAGAAACCAAGTTGAGATGATTTGCACTTTGTGAACTGGTGCATTATCCTACTGGAAGCAGGCATCAGAAGCTGGGTACACTGTGGTCATAAAGACATGGACATGATGAGCAACAACACTCAGGTAGGCTGTGGTAGCCACCACTCAGATAAATGTTCTTCATACCATGACAACACCACCAGTGTGAAATGTTTACACAGGGATCCATGCTTTCATGTTGTTTCCACCAAATTCTGCCCGAACTATCTGTTTGCTGCAGCAGAAATCTACATGGAGTTTCTGAAATATGAAATAAAATTATTTAGTTCGCTTTTCTTCCCCATTCCAATGCTCAGTGTGAACTTCAGCAGGCTCTTCGGATCATGTCTAAAAACCTTAATGGGTGATTAAACAACAATTATAAGTCCTTATTTACTTGTTAATGTTAAATCATTTGAATCTTTATCTCAAAGTTTAAGGGAAAATTATTTATGAGCACAGTATTAGTAAACATATTGGAGTATATTTTATGCTTATACTTTATGCTCGCTTTAAATGGATTTATCTATACTTAACGTTACGTGTTACAGAACTTGAATACTTTCCTGCACTTAATCAGATTACATAGAGGAAGTCAAAATGACTTCAGTTTAACTTACTGCAACATTTTCCACAATTATTTTTCATTTGTGTTTTTAGCATGCAGATAACAGCTTCTATTTCTTCACAATATACATATTTTATTATTATGACTGTAAGAGGATTTTAGAGACGCTGGAGGATGAACATCAAACAAATTACAGAGAAAATATTCTTCAACATATTAAATAAAGAAAACAAACTAATGCATGTTATGTATATATTGTTAGTTGGTTTAACCTCTAAAAATGCATTATATTTTGTATATTTATTCTTAATTTACAGAGTAAGTGGGTCTACAATACAGTGTAGAGTAAACATGCAGGTTTTCTATTAAAGTTTACTAGAAAAGTAAAAGATGTTTCTCTTGTTTCTCTGTTTCTGACATAAATACTAGCAGCAGTTGCTTCTTATAGTTGAATATCGCTGTGTGGAGGGCAGAAGGTGTTAAACGGTCAGATAAAAAGGATTTGTAACATTTTTAAGGAGACCACGGTGCAGAGATGTGATCCTCCAGCAGAGTGAGATTACAGTCTCAAATATACATATACCCACGCTGAAGATGAGACAGAAGGAGTACGGGATAAATCACATCTCAGAGAAGAGGATGTGCCACACATCTGGCAGTAGCTGGATTGCAGAATTTGTCTGCATGTGATATGCATGAGAGGGAGAGAGAGAGTTGGAGGTGGGCGTGTGTTGGGGTCTAAAAGCTAGCACAGCTCCCAAACCCTAAACTTGTTTTAAAAAGAGCTCTGTACTGGACCTGCCGCACACTCTTCTCTTACTTATCCCAAAGCTGGGAGAAGAGGGTGGAGAGAGCGTCGGAGAAAACAGGAGAGAAGGGAGAAGAAGTAAGTAGAGGGACCGTGGCAGCGACAGGGTGGAGAGGCGAGAGGAGCAGAGACATCTGGTATTCAAACCGCATGGGAGAGGGAGAAGGACTTCCTGCTGAGTCTTAAAAGCATCATCATCATTTCAAGTCGTGAGTATCGGCTCATTTGCTTATTTTTCCGAAACAGCTCCCAGCTTGTGATACTTCTGCCGCTGCGGCATTAGTTTGCAAAGTTGCAAAGTGTTTTTGTTCCAGCACAGCCACAAACCATGATCATAACAGGTGACGGCTGGTTTGCGTGGTGCTGTTGTGCGGTTAATTTTCACTCCTCCTTTGATCAGCCTCCAAATTCAGACCTCCTGAGAACATTTACAATACCTCAGCAGTGAGTCATCGACTTATTACTGTCCAGTATGATTCACAGATCTGTCATATGGATGCAGTGCTGATGTTTTGCTTTTCCCTTTGCTTGGTTGGTTTTCTGGGTCGCCTGCCTTTAGCATTTCTCTTTTCTTCCCCATTAAAACTGGACTCTAAAAATCAAAAACTTGCCTTCCTTTTCTTTTTCCTAACTGAACTGCTGTTGCTCTCTCCACACACACAGACAGGTCCAACTGGAAAAAGCCTGTTTTCTTCATCCCTTCAGTTCGACAGGGAACAAGATTTTTTTGGTTCGCATCCTGCCCCATTATCAAATAGCTGTGTTGTCATCAGTGGGGTTTTATTGGAGGGAAAGCAGAGACGTACAAGTGTTTTTACACGTCTTCTTTTTCCCTCTGTGGATCCTGGATCTGCCACAGTGACTGGGAGTATTACACGAGTCTCCAGCTTTCTAACCCCACCAGTGATCTTTTTAACCAAAAATAAGGTGCTGTTGGACTCACCGGATCAAGCTGTGGTCGAAACATCCATAGTTTGATTTTATGAAAAAGGCTGGAGATAAAGCTGCCAGACAAGAAGTGAAGTCGCATTGCATTTATGCTTTGAGCTATCAGTCATACTCACAAACATTTTTGTATTTTTTGGTAATAAAGTACCAGGTTCTAAGGCTTTTTGGTAAACTCTATACCGGGGATGTCAAACAGGAGGCCCAGGGGCCAAAATTGGCCTGGGAAAGACTCCAAGCTGGTCCACTGGAAAGCTTTGGAATATATGAAGAAAGGCATAATTTTGGACTGTATTTTATATTATACAGCTTTTCCTACTGATAAAGACCTTCCCCACCACGATTCATACTCTAACAAAGGAATGAAGTAATAGATAAACAATCAAATGACAGAATTGTTCCTGTTTTTTCACTATTGCATATAGTAATTTATTTATTCGTTTATTTGTATATTTATTTATTATTTGTTTTTTCATCAGTATGCCTCCAAAGTAAAAAGTAAAATAAATACATTTTAAAAAAATAATTTCATTTTCTGTGAATTAACATAAACATTTTGCTTCAAAATTATTATAGGAGGGTTACAGAATAATTACAATGAGCTAACTTTTTTCATAATTATACACATTTATTTCTTACAGTTTAAGTGAAAGATGTCTTTTATTTACTAAGACAGTAACAGTTATTACTGGCACACGTGTGCCAATTGACCCAAAGACTGTATATGAAAGATGCACATAGCCACTGCAAAGTCAGCCCAGTAGCTGGCGAAGTCCCACTATGCCTGAAGCTGAGCATTGTAATGTTTTTACTGTTTTCAAACAGGACAGATCATTTCACAGAGAAACAGAGAAGCTGAACGGGGACATAATTTACCTAAAATAGCTTAGATTATGGTTAGTAAGGGCAGTTTTAAACAAGCGGGAGTAGTCTGTTTATTTTGTCAAAGATTTCTATACAAAACTATGATTTCCAAACAGAGGAGGCGCCTCCTGCTGGCCATTAGAAAGAAGTGATGTTTAAGACACTTTTGATTTGGTTTACTTTTTGTACTCAGAAGTTACGTCTATCTTTATCAACAAATTTTCTTTGATCACTTTTCCATTTTTTAAGCAGTGATTAGTCTTAGCACGGGCAGATTCCAAGAAATTGTCCTAACTGAGACAATAAAGTAAAATATAATAAAACAAAAACAGTAGCAAAGTTGCACATCGCACTGGCAAAACACACACACACAAAAAAAATGCTCGCCTTTTCACTAATTAGTGGCACATGAAGTTGCTTTGATTTCCACACATCTTTGTCGGCGATGTAAACACATTTTTTTTCTGCTTTAAAAACAAGGAGGGGAAAAAAAGGTTGGTTTGAAAAATAACTTTGACACAGGCATATTTGTTCTCTTCTTCTTCATCTTTTATAAGGGGGAGCGTGTATCTGCTCGACATGGGCCCTCACTCTCTGTTGATGGCGCTGATGGTGGTTGCCACAGCAACTGGGGCCTATGCAGCCGAGGAGGAGAATGAAGTGGATTACGGGTACTGGAACTACAGAGAGGGAGGTATAAATCACAAGCCTGTGTTTGATCTATTCTGTTTGGAGATACGGAGCCCGTAAATCACTGTGCGTTTGAAGCCGTGAGCTATGGC